AGTTCAGCGAGAAAAGGATGGATTTGAATTAATCGGGGGGGGGGGGGACAATGAATCTGGGAAACGATATACTTAAAAAAATTCCAAACTAAAATAGCTCATTAATTTGGAAATTCTCAAGACGAGGTTAGAAAAAAAAATTTAAAATAAATAATCTGAATATGCGTTTGAAAAGAATAATTGCGTTTGAAAGGAATACGCAATTATTCGTGAAAGTCTTAATAGAAACTGAAAAGGAAAATCTAATTTTGATAAATTGACGAATTAAACGGCTATAAAAATAGTCTTCAATTATAGATTTTTTCGGAAGGGATCAAATAATATTTTAGTACCTATGTATTATACTATTCACTAATATTGATTTATTTTTATATAACTTTAAATGACATTTATATTTTATGATACTAACACAGATACTATTAATCAAAATTGTTTATTGATCATAAAACTCAGTTCATTTAATCAAAACACTATAATTTGCATTAAATACCATTAAAAATAAAATTTCGCAGAAATTTAGGATACAATATTGCACTATCCTTTTAATCGTATAACCCGCTCAATCGCATAGATTTGGCTATAACTGATGATATTCCTTAGCCGTTGTTTCCTCAACCCGCTCAATTGCATAGATTTGGCTATAACTGATGATATGCCTTAGCCGTTGTTTCCTCAAAAATCTTAAAGATAATATCATTGATACTTTATAGCTCTATTTAATAACAATAAAAAAGAGTTATTGCTTGTACTTTATTTAGTTTTTTTTTCGCTATGTCATAATTTCAATCAACAACAGTTCCGCAATTGACTGATTGTTGACACGTTCTCAGCAGATCACCGAAGTCGAGCATCACTGGCCGCTGTCAGCGTGCGGGTGAAAAACTACTTGGATCAATCTGTGAGGGGACCGAGGGTGTGAGGTATTGGTCCTCGTTAAAATGTTATACGTAAGTACTTGACTTCACGCGCATGTCGTCGGTCTATCGAAGCGAAGGGAACCTCACCTCTGCAGAGTTCAAAATTGTGATGGCATGTCTTCAGATGATTGTCAGGAATGTTTTCCTGACCGTTACCAATAGCCCATTGAGCAGCTTTAGTGCGACGTAAACAACAACAACAATGAAAAAAAAAAAATTACGTGGTAGCACTATGTCACCAAACTATCTCTAAAGTTATCGGAAATCACGTATTTAATTTGTCACGTCTGTCAAAATGTGTTTTGGTATAAGTAAATAATTTAAAAACAGCGGTAATTAAAATTTAAAAAAAATTCTTTTGCAATGAAAGGCAAAATTAATGGGAAAGTGGTACTAATTTGCTTAGGAAAAACGTAGAAAATTACTTCAGTTGTATTAACCGCTGTCCCTCTTTTCTTTTTCTCTGGCCTTTTTATTCCTAGTAAGAATATATATATTTTTTTGGTATTCTCTCTTTAAAAATAAAAAGTCAAACAGCTGATAAAAAATATTTGTTAGATTACGGAATTATATATTTTACTGAAATATAAAATTCAAAATAATTAGTTTGGAAAAATCTTTTTTTGATTCATATTCAAAAATGTATTAATGATTTTGTAATTTAAAGAAGTTTCAATTATAAATAACTGTTTCGCTAAGATTTAAATAACTGCATATCAGTTAAATTGTTTGAAAGTGAGCCGCGTTTGAAATATTTGACTTTTTATGCAGAAAAAGACAAGGTTTTTCACGTTATATTTCATCTCACCAAATATTATTAAAATTCTAAATTTATTTCTCACTTATCCTGACATGAATAAATACAAANTTGGAAGTGAACCGCGTTTGAAATATTTGACTTTTTATGCAGGAAAAGACATGGTGTTTCACGTTATATTTCATCTCACCAAATATTATTAAACTTCTAAATTTATTTCTCACCTATCCTGACATGAATAAATACAAAGAAATAATGAAAAAAAATATATTTAATGAAAATTCTGAGTCAAAGTGTTAATGCTGACGCTCAGTTCATTTAAGTAATGTAATAGATGCATATTGAAATACTAAAAAGTAAGCCATTATGTTACAAAAAGCAACATTTATGGAGTTCAGGTACTTATTCGTATAGATTAATCGTAAACAAGCGCCATACTATTATTGTCGCCAATGATGCTTAATTAATATGGGTAATTCCTATTATATAAATTAAAAAAATTACTTATTTACAAAAATTCCAAGTTAATGGTTAATTTCGATATTATGCCTAGTAATGTTGAATACAGTTAATCTCAATTTTAATGGGCTGAACAACAAAAAACAGGTTTTGTTATGTTTTTGCTTATTAATTTTGTCAGTATATACCGTTCAGTTTTGTCCACGATTTCATTGGGTTGTTCAGTACCGAGTAATTGTTTTTTAATTTTATTAATCCTGTTCGAAGAGTGGATATTCAGCTAGTTGAAAATAAAAAAAAGTTCAATTACAGTTATGAAAATTAGTTCGTTAAAAATAAGTTAACTAACGCTTTTCGTTTCCCGAAACTCTGGTCTTTTTCTCAGGTCAAGAGCTAGCTTTTGTTCAATACTTATCAATATTTTAGTCAAATGACTTCTAAACATACTATTGGACGTATTTTCAAAATTTTAATTAAATATAGTAGCATTAAATTCTAACTTGAGATTCATTTAAACTGAAATAGTTGCAGTGTTATAGTACACCTTGGATACATATGTACTATAAAATAGTATCTTTCTCTTGATATACATCTTCAAGAAAGAATAAATAAATGAGATATATTTTCTTTTGAATATATTTATTTTTAATGGTAAGAGTACAGCATATGTAAAAAGTATAAAAAAGGAAGAAAAAAAATTATTCAAGTTGGATCTGAGAATTTGAAGCACGTATATTTGTTTTTATTCTTACACAATAGACAGACTATGGTAGCTAGCTTGACTCTATGAAGGTGCTTGCAGATGCAATCATATAAGGTCTATGACCACTACTAGTGGCATCATCCTGAGAAAAAAAGCAGCTTAGTCTTTCTTTATAACTATTGCATAGCTGCCAACCTTAGGAATCAAATATTAGGAACACTATATGCGACAAAATTATATGCACTAATTACGAGAGTAAGATAAAAATTTAACTATTAAATCATAACATTAATAGACATATATTTAATTATATAAATTAGTAAAACAAAACTATAAACGCTATCTTTTGTGGAAAACTTATAATATCAAAAATTTTATGAAAATTCAGATTTTTTAATAAAAATATCAGATTTTCAGATTGGATTTAAAAATTAGGAACAAATCCAAAAAAATTCTGAACAGTTGGCAGCTATGCTATTGTCTGCTTAGTCAGCTGTAAAATAAAAGCATTTTTCTAGATAAAAAAATAGAAATCATGTTACCTTAAAATTCTACAGTGGATCAGAATCCAATCAAAGACTTCAGTTATATTAATAACTGACAACCGTGCCGGAAAATAAAGAGCTTAATTATTTTTATGAATTTAAAAAATATACAATTATATTTAATACATATAGCAAAATCAATGACTGAAATGTTATCTTGTTACGGTACAGAGATATTCTTCAAACTAAATGAGAATCTGCATAAACCATTGTAGATAATCAAGTCCTGGTAAACATATCTCACAGAAAAGCTTTAAGCAGACAAGGAGTTTTCAAGGAGTTTTTAAATTGTAAAGACTTACAAGATTATGCCCAACACTGTAAAATTATAATTAAAAAAATAAACAGCAATTGCTGCTCCTAAATTAGCGATGCAACATACAAATATTTGGTATTTTGCCTATACTGCTGAACGTTCATTTCGGACGAATAAAGGAAGAAGCGTCTGCCGAAGACAAAATTTATTTCGTTTACATCTGTCGTTCTCCCACCCCCCCTCCTGGGAAGGGTTTATTCGATTAACAAAACAATAATGAAGATAAACGAATTTGTGAAGGGTCTGAGTAAAAGATAAATTATTTTGTGAAATGTCCATTTTTATGAAAAGATATTTTGTGAATAGTTCGTTAACGGACCCAAATTTCTTCTAAACAGACTTCTGACTGTGACTACTCTTTCTTATTTGTATGGGATGAGTTCTGGTTATCTGGCTAAATGTCAAGACAAGATTACAATATTTTCATATAATTAGTATATAAAGTTGTGTATAAATACACTTCCTTTTTTAGCAACTTTGCCATGCATTTTTCGAAGATGTTTGCCAGTTGAATATGGCCCTGGCAGTTTAAATGTATGTGATCTTAACCAATACATTCATCCACAGATAAAGCTGATTCACAGAACATTAGCCAAAGTAAAATTCACAAAGTTTTAATTACTTCATTGAATCGCTTTATAGTGACGTTTTCAAGATTAACAAAATGTTGATGCATACGCTGATCTTTCAGCATGAGAAATTTCTAAACTCTTCGTGCGAGAAAAACATCTCAGGAATATTTCTGTATTGTGATCCGCCGCGCCAACTACAATTGCCAAGGTGTTCAACAGATTTTAAACTTGCAAATTTAATTTTAAAAAAAATACATGTAGATAGTTGCCCAGGGGTGGTTACGAATTATACCTTCCAAGTTCTCTTCTCTTTTTTTTTTTAGCCTGGCGGCTGGTTGCCCAGAATTATTCTTCCACAGATCACCAAAGAAAATCTCCCCAATAACCCCACAAATTTTATTAACCACAAAAGCCAGTTTTTTAAAGTTAGGCATTGTACCCAATTGCACATCATTAGTTCCTTTATTTTTAAAAAAAGCAAAATAAATTATTATTTTATAGCACAACCATAAGTAATATTAATAAAAAATCAGTATCTGAATTAGAATAGTTACACAAGATACAAACAATGCCAACAAATGGTTTAGATACATAATCATTGAATAAGTAAATAAATTACATTTCAACTTACCAACATGAATTAAGACAAAAACACTATCGTCCCTTCACAACTGCATACTTAATTTGTCTACACCGATTCCAGGGTGTGCAAACATCGATATCCCATTTTCATTCAGCATTTAAGTAATTAGCTAAATACTTCTCCAGGGAATCACCTAGTAAAAAAAATAACAAAGTATTTTATTAGTTTGTATTTTATGAGGAGAAAGAAGAAATATGAAAGGTTTCCTTTACATTGTCCATTTATACGCAAACTGTCAAAAATCTTAGGGTAATGAAAAAAATACAATTATAGATATAGTTTGAGAAGTTAAATAATTGAAAAAATTCAATTTCATATTAATATCCAATAAAGATAACTTAAATTTAAGATAACTTACTAATCTGAATTATCTTCTAATTTATTATAGTATTTGTATTATGTATTTTAAATAAAACAAATTATTGAGTACAAATTGTTTTGCACATAAATGTGATACATACAGAATAAAAATTTTTTTTGAAAGTATGCATGCTCATAATTTATTCAATAGTTAAGACAACCTGAAAGAATAATAATGAATGCAGTAACTGTGAATGAAAATGATAAATATTATCTAAATTTATTCCATTTCTCTCAGAATTTTTTTTAGATTAGTTTACAATAAAATTGAAACAAATTATTTTAGACATGATCAAAAAACTCTTCACTATTTTTAAGAAAATTCATTATTAAGCTTTCTATAAAAAATAAATTTTAATTTTCTAGGAAATATATTATTTCCTAGAAAAAAAGATGCCTCTGTATTATGTCACTAAAATAAACATAAATCAAGTAATTTAACTAAATAAAATTTCATTACTAAACTGCTTCACACATTTTCGACAGATCAGACAAAGGATTTCTAAGGAAGCAGAGAAAAACTTTGATAAATGAATTTTTTTAATAACGATTTTCTTAAAATACATACATTTTACATATAGAGGAGAAACAAACTACACAGATATTTAATAAAATTCATTATTCACAGATATTTAATAAAATTCATTAATCTTCTTTAAATTTCATGTAATTTTTTTATATACTGCTTTGAAATGTACACTAATATTATAAATCTTTAATTAATAAGAATTACCTGTAATTAAAACTTTCATGATGATAAAATATGAAATCCCGCGCAGCCAAATACAGAAAATGGCTTCCTCTAACAATAGCTTTTGTTTAAACAACGCCAATTGCTTTGGCGAAAAAGTTTGTAGGGTCAATCAATATAGGGCTATAAGAAGATTGATGGATAAAAGCTAGCGTCAAGCTCACTCCGCCCAGTTACCAATTCCTAAATTGACCAAATATCGTGATTTTCTTTTAGTACTCCCAAAAATGTAAACTAAAGTGGGAGTGTTGAATGAATTAGTTTATATTGTTGAACATAGATGGTATCACAAATGCTGACGTAGACGGCAGCAGTGTTGTCTTTAATATAACCTCTTATCTATAATAAAATATTTAGTCCAGTTTCAGCTTTCACCCAGGTATGTTGTTTAATTTCTTGTGACCTCCATGCATAACTTATTGGGTTAAGTCTTTACTTATAAATACCTTTTTTGTTATAAGTATCAGAAAAACAACCTGTATACCTTGAAAATCACCTCAAAGCTTAGTTGACTAGAAGTGAATTTTAAGCAACCTCAAAATGAGCTGAAGTGTATGCATGTCGCGGAATGCCACGAGATGGCGCTCTCCTATTAATTTAATTACATATTTTTCTTTGTGTGTCATTATAATTTTGATTTGATTAGATGAATGTTGAAGGGGAAATGTCAGCCCTTATAATACTGACTATCTACGTATCTTCATATCATAATCTATTAAAGTTCGTTTTGTTTTAAAATAATGTGTTTAGTTAATTAATTTGAACCACCGATCTGTGCTTAGTTAAATCCTTTTTTCATGGTGCTCAAGGCAAAATTCAGCTTGGATAAACATATCATGCCCAAATACTTCAAAAAATAAAAGGTAGGCTTTTATTATTTTTTCATCATTCGTAATTTTGTATATATATATAGTGGGTGAATTTCTGTTATAACAATGTCTGCAATTGAAATCACGAAGGCAAAGAGAACAACTGTAAGGAAACTTACTGCGCAGTTAATTAATCAAATTGATGCGAAATTAAAATCAGCAGACGAAATTGATGAGCAGGATCTTAGAGACGACTACGAAAATTTAATTGAAAAATCCAGCGAATTAAAACAACTTGATTCCGTAATCGAAAGTTCTCTAACCCTCGAACAGGTTGAAAAAGAAGTGACAAACAATGAAGAATGTAAAACAAAGTGTTTAAAATATTCAAAAAGAATATTGCGGTATCTAGAAACTAAATGTAAAGTAAATCCAACCTTAAATGAACCACATAATAGAAGTTTAGACACATCTTTAAGTGAAAATTTAAAAAATCAATGCTCAATTAAATTACCGAAACTTGTCATAGAACCGTTTTCAGGTGATCCAAAACAATGGAATAGCTTTTGGAATAGTTTTTCCTGCTCAATAGACAAAAATGAATATATTTCAAAGGAAGAAAAGTTTTCGTACCTCAAGTCTTATTTAACTGGACAAGCTGCTAACGTTGTTACCGGTTTCGAATTATCCAGCGCTAATTACGACAATTGTATAAAAATTCTTAAAGATAGATTCGGAAAGAGAGATATAATTATAAATGCATTTATGAATAAAATATTAAGTTTAGAAGAAGTTTAAAGTAGTTCAAATATAAAAGCTTTGCGTAAAATATATGGTGAGCTAGAAATTTCAATAAGAAATTTAGAAGCAATAAAAGTTACATCAAACTCCTTCGGACATTTGTTAATGCCTATTTTGCAAAAGATTTTACCTCACGATTTAATTTTAGAATTTAATAGACAAAGAGATGAAGGGGATATCGATATCTCTAAATTCCTCCTGTTCTTTAAAAAAGAAGTTGAATGTCGCGAAAGCACTTCTTTTGCGTGTGAAGGAAATGAAATAAATTATAATCAAAGTTATCCCAAAACAGTAAATAAAAAATACAATTACAGAAATACACCCACGGCGAGTGCATTTACTGCAGTTACAAGACAGTCATGCATCTTCTGCAATAAATCTCATGACTCAATTAAATGCTATAAAAAACCAGTAGAAAAATTTGCGGTACTAAAAGAAAATAATCGTTGT